GTACTGCAATACAAAGCATTAATAACAAAAACTTTAGAAAGAATTGTATTAAACTTCCTTTTATAAGCATTTTTAAATGGAAGCATTTTTACACTCATGATTGCAATTTGCAAATTACCTGAGAGTTAAACATGCTGGCAAGTGAAAGGTAGAGGTGTGAATAACAATCATGACTTCCTCATCTCACATTTTCAAATGTGTTAAACATGATATAGATTGATAAAGCAACACTGTTTTACAATATAAATTCAGTTTTACTTCTTTTGGGGCAGTACTTATAGTACTCATGTTACTATATGTCGTAGGAAGGCAACCTCCGCAGTCCGGCTGTTGTGGAACTACAAGTCCGATGAGGCATTGCAAGACACAGGCATGACCCTCAAAGGCATGATGTCACTTGGAGTTTTAGAAAACTTGGACTGCCTAGGCTGTCTACCCCTACTAAATGTATGCCTCTGAATAAGGTAGAATGTTTATATATAGTTAAAAAAAATTGATCAAAATACAGAAGACAAATAGTTGTGTTGTAGTTGTACATGGAAAAAAACTACTATGACCTTAAAGTGAACGTGTGGCCAGGTTACACACATTTGAGTATTTACATATAGTATACATAGTACATGCAATGGGGGGAATTTATCAAAATTGGAGCAGAACACATTTGGAGCAGTTGCCCATGTCAACCAAATATCTTCTCTCTTCAGTTTGTTCAGTTAAGCTTTGAAAATGAAAGGTGGATGCTGATTGGTTGCCATGCACAGCTGCTCCAGATTTTGTCTGCTCCAGTTTTGATAAATTCCCCTCGTAGTATTTACACATTTGAGTATTTGCATACATATTGACATAAGCACATAGTAAATGTTCTTTAAAGCAGAACTCCGGTTAAAAAGAAGATTAAAAAGTCCTTTACCACTAGATGTCATCTGTCAGGAAGCCAGAACCGGAATTTGGGCTCAGCAATCCCAAACCTGCACAAAGAGCTTTGCCAGGTTATGGGTATTTGCATGTACATGCGTGTGTGAGCCAACATGTAACTCAAACTTTGGCACCCTTAGAGCTATTTATGTTGTGATGTCCAGTACTCCTGTGCTGTATGATTGTCAGCTACACCCGTGTTTCTGAGTTCCATCATTCTGATAAGCTTACCTGTTACTGACCCGATTTGTCTTGACCTCTCGCTACTCTTACATGTTCTAGACCCTGGCTTGATTCTGACCATCGCTTCTGCCTAATGCCTTACACCGCAATGATCACATGTTGCTGAACTATGCCTGTTCCTGACTACATTCCTGCCTTCTGCCTCAGTATCTTACTGCCTGCCTGTTTTCGACTCGACCTGGCACGACCACAGACTGCCTGAAGACCCATTCCCAAAGTGCTTCTCTTCTGTTCCTGCAGCTTGCCCAGGGTCTACCTGTATTGCAGAGACTGTTGCCTGGAAAAGTCATCATCTTCTGGCACTTGTGCCCCTCTGCGCACCACACTCCTATACCCCATTCAGGTGCTCGGGGACCATAGTTATAAGAAAGGCTGCCCTCCTCAAATCAGACTTCCCAAAGGTACATGACATCACCATTCTTCCTGGTTGAGTGATGGTTTTAAACTTTCAACCCACTTCCTATGAGCCCAGGCTGGGGATGCATAATCAAGTACTACTGAACTGAATGGTACTCACATGTCATTATGGGAATACTGTTCTGTGCAGTGGTAGGAACCATCAAGTGCCACTGCCAGAAGATAAGAGGAAGGATTTCAAAAGAAAAGTGAGAGGTAAAAAACATGTGATGCCAATATTGCTATGCCACCATATAGATCCTCTCTAAGGTTATATCTAGACTATGGGGTACATTAATAGGCAGCACACTGTACAAAGAAGAAACAAAATGATCATAAGCAATAGTACATATACAATGGACTGGCATCCAACTGTTATCCAAGCCTTTGACCCAATCCTAAGTACTAAAGACAAATATTTACTTACAGTGTTGTATAGTAGGTAAGCTGCATGTCCCCAATTGGTTTAAAAACCATGCATTTCATGCACAGACTATTAAGAAGCAACAGAAGGAAGAGAAACCCCCAGGCAAACTGGATAACAAAAGTTACAAAATATGTCCTCAATGAAACACAGTATAGTGTGTTTCAGTAAGCACACATTGTTTCAGGTTTTAAAACTGTTTTTGCTATGACTTTCATATTTTTATATGCTTGCACTTTTATATTTTTTATTGTAATAAATGTAGAGATTTGTAAGATTAGCCACTGGAGGGAGTTGTCAATGGCTCAATGCTATCACTTTGCTACAACTGTTGAGATAAGAACTACTTTTTCTTTTTTTTTTACTGTTTTTGATGGGTTGGCCAACCCATAGATTTGCATTGTGAAAAGGAGAAGTAGAACACAACCAGGAAATAGATCTTGTATATGACATGCATAAATATTGTTTGCATATAATTTGCATGAATAATTACAATTATACATAGGAACAGTTTTTAAAGCTTTGATGAGCATTAATAAATTAATTTAAATTAAACTGATCTATGAATCTAAAAAAACATAAAAAATACTCGGCATTACCTTTTAGAGATTCTAAACAATCTAAAGGTGCCTATACACTGCGATCGTACGAGAATCGAGCAGTGTGAATGGAGACATGCGACCGTTTCTACTGTAAGGTCGCACGTCTTCCGTCGAACCAGCATGTTCGAAAACCAGCCGGGAATCGTACGATTCTCGGCTGGTTAGAACGGTGCTCGGAAGACAAATGCCGAACGGGCCGGTGTGCGCACGCGCACACTGCCCGTTCAGCATTGCGGTCATCGGAAGCCTGCCCCTCAGGGGGGCGGGCTTGCGATGATCGAGAGTGTGATCTGCCTGTCCAAGATAGGCAGATCGTACGTTTTTTTAATCCCTGTACAACCATCGCAAGACTAAGGTCTTGCGATGGTTGTACAGTGTATGGCCACCTTTATAGTACTCTTTACACTCAGGACAAAAAGTAGCATCTGTACCTCTGATTGCTCTCACTTCACTTGCTCACACAAAGTATCTTCTGTCTTTTAATGGGTGTCTAGAGGTTCTTTGCAAAGTTATATGGGCCTCACCTGTCCTACATTACTAATAAATTCTTAATCACTGACTAGCAAAAGGAGAAGAGGCAAAGAGAAAGAGGACCCTGGACATCATGCTGGGGCATCTAGTGGGAGTGTGGGGACTGGGGTGGCAGGGACTTTAAGAATCTGGCTTTAAGACTGCCCGTATGACAACTAATTAGGAAAAACTATACCAAAGCATATAGAATTTATAAATAGGCTTGTATAGGATATATACTGTAGAGAGAGAAAAACATCATTTTTTCACAGTTATAGAAAGTCAATTGTGATTATCCTACCTGTCAATGATTGCACACATGTCAATGCTGATGTTTTCAAAGCTCCCTTGCTTCCCCCGCTCTATGGAATGAAGGTCAACCAACTGGTTATCCACGTGGATGAGCTGCATGCACCCTTGAAACGAGTTTTCAAAAAAAGGTCGATCGGTATTGTTCGTCTTGGAATAGAAGCCTAAAGGGAAACAATATTTTAAAAATTAAAGATATATATAAATATCAGATCAATGACTAAAACATCTTTTTAATGACAGATGACTGAACTGTGGTTACAAGGCAATTCAGTTGTGTAAACGATTTCGGTTTTAATTGGAGTATTTGTCTTCTTCACTAGCATAAAATTGAAATCAAAGCAAAAGTACGGTGAAAAGCTATATATTTGTGTGTTTTAACAATAACACTGACAACAAATTGGATACATTTTCTCTGTAAAAAAAGTGGTAGTGGTATAAGCAGCAATATTAAACAAGCACCAAAAAAGGTCAGGATCAGAAAAATCGTTATTTATGCTTATGTACAGAACAAAACAATGTTATACCAAAAAAAGCATTTTTTCTAGGTTTTCCTGAAGCAACATTTATTGTATTATATGCTAGGCATGTAACGTGGTTTGTTTACATGTAATTCTGTTTTTGTGATGGTATGATATTAGTAAACAGTTTGATTGCCCAAAAATGCACTTTCACTCTGATACTCTAAGGCAGGGGTCTGCAAACTCTGGCCCTCCAGCTGTTGTGGAACTACAAATCCCATAAGGCATTGCAAGATTCTCACAGCCACAGGCATGACTCCCAGAGACAGATGCATGATGGCATTTTTAGTATCACCACAGCCAGAAGGCCAGAGTTTGTCCACCTCTTCTCTGAGGACTGTGTTTACTGGCTTTGGCTTTGTGCATTGACATCGTTTGAGAAGTGTCTGAGATCATTTAAAATTCATTGACAAATCCATTTGACATGCAGTTGACCCCCTTCTGACCTGCACTGACCTGCTTAAACCTGAATTTACAGTCCCATAAATTAGTAAGGGGAGAGATGTTCTATGAACAAATGTTCTGTCGACACAAACTCTCATATACATGCCATGTTCATATGTGTGAAGTGTGAATATCACATGTGAGTTCATTACTAAAGAAACAGTAATAAATAAATAGTATCACATGTGAGTTTTTTTTTACTAAAGAAATAAAGGCTATTCACTTAGCAATTCAAATGTTCACTTTCCAAAGTGTATGTTTACTTTGAACCTGGGACCAGTGAGGAAAACTTAACAGAAAAAATATTTGATTTTTGCAAACGAATAATTGGTTGATTGAACTGATGCTGTCTTACCTAATTCATTAAGCTCAGTGAACACTTTGCAAAGTGAACAGCCTCTTTCAGTGGATCAAGGACTTCAGGCCTCCTCTAACGTGATCTACTAAATTGAAGCATGCAGAGGAACACAAATTCATGCTAAGTTAAAGTGCCACTAAAGCCCAAACTTTTTTTTTTTGATAGACTGGAGAGGGATTAGAACACCTGTTTGGGTTTGTATTGCTCTCTGAGTCCCTATTCGGCAGATTCACCCTCTCTATTTGTTTTGGTGACTTATCACTAAAAGTGAAAAAAAATCTTTGAACGAAGACACATATGGAATCCCCCCCCCCCCCCCCCCCCAAAAAAAAATCCTAAAAAAAGTTTTGACTTCAATTCTACTTTAAGCACAGCATGTGGCCATTCAGCCTAGTACACTCTTTCAGACTCCAGTATCAGAAATTTTACAGTGGGTGTTCATCTTAGATCATCTGCTAAGCTCTCAGTTTTGATGCACAAAACCATAGAATAAACAGATTCCATGCAAAGATAGTTGGGGGGACATCTTAGGAGTTATTTTTAGATCGTATTGGATGCATGATGTTATAGTATTTATTTATTTTTGGTATGGTTATAGCGCAGACAATTTATGCACCGCTTTACGTATTGCGCATTCACATCAGTGCCTACTCTCAAGGAGCTTACAACCAAAATTCCCTATTGCATATGCATACTTACAGGGCCAATTTAGACAAGAACCTTCCAGCATGTCTTTGGAGTGTGGTAGGAATCCAGAGAACACGCAGGAAACCCACGCAAGCACAGGGAGAACATGCAAATAGGTAGGGGACTCCTATGCGGCAAGGCAGAAGTGCTAACTACTAGGCCACTGTGCTGCCTCACAGACAAATACATATTGAATTTACATTAATAGATAGAATTAGTTGACATGAGAACTGTTGGTGTTAGGGGCTTATTTCGAGCACCAGGGCCCAAGGACCTCAAGCTACACCTTAATAGGCAGGTCTGCCTTAATAAACAAAAAGCAATTTTGAACAATCTTAGATCTTGATAAAGTTTGTTTTTGTTTCCTAAAGACCAGTAACATAGTAAAGGGCCTTGACCTCAAGAATGCAAATGTGTGATTACTATTGTGAAACCAATTTAACCTAAATTACTTAATACACTGTCTGCATGCTGAACAGTAATGAAATGCTATGGGGAAGAAATGTACTCTATAATGAGCTTCACTGAGTTACTGTCACTAACACCCAGCTGTGAGAAGCTGGCAGTAATTGTCCATTTTCTTCATTGTGTACAAATATATCAAAGCCACACTGGTTAAATAATCAACAGAAAAAGTTTAAATGTGAAAGCAGAGCAACTGCTTTGAATCAGTGAACTCCCTCTATCTTTCTATCTGGTCTGTTTTATTTACACAAAATTGCATTCATGTTGCTAACAGTTTTCTTGTTACAATCAACGATGAAAGCAATGTAATGGAGCAGTGTTCCAGAATCCTGACATCTCTGCAAGATTTGCAAGGCAACTTTATATAGGAAGCCATAGTTACTGAAGTGTCATTATTCTGAAGAGACACACTGCTATGTATTCAGGAAATCAATGTACCTTCTAGATGATTTAGTCCCTGGCCATCTGGCAGGTAACTGAAGTGCAGATAGTTTTTCAGGATAGCTATTTTTCATATCTACAAAGTTAAGCAACAGTAACGGACAGGGGCTCATTGGTAAAGCAACACACCTTGTAAACATTTTAAATATTCAACAATTTGCTTTCTGTTTGGCTTGAATCTGCTGGTAGTCCTTTAAAGATAAAATTAGATGGCTGCTTCTGTAATATATATTTAAACTTGTTCTGCACTTTATTTTCTCTAGCAAACAAATGGGAATACGCATCATTGATAAAAAGAGGACTTTATAAAACAGAATTTCAGCCATTCAAGAATTAGAATTTATCACTGAAAAATGAAATATGAACTCACATTGGAAGTGAAAGTGAAAAAAGTTATGTTAAAACATAATTACAATAAATAAACAAACGTTAATAGTTTATATTTTCATTATTGGTTCTCATTATTGAGCATTTTTGGACACGCAGTTCAAGATCATTTTGACAGAATTTTGAATGCAGAGAAACAAATTATTTTATACGAGGTGTTTTTTTATTAACCCCTTTGCGACTGCAATATGCCTTTTTAAGTTCACATGAAAAATGCCCCCTGCCATGTGAAAATGTTAATTAACCATGCAGCAGAGAACTAGGAACTAGGAACTGTTTGTTCTTGTGTTCCTAGTACTCAGGCTCAGAGTCAAAATGAAAAATTAGTCATAGCATCATTGTTATATTAACTGACACATACTGATACTGCTAAAATTGGTCTATGCGCCTATGCTTAAAAAAAAAAAAACTGCTAGTGTGATCTATCAACTGTGCTAAAGAAAAAGAGATTGATTTACTAAAAGACTACACTCTCTTAATCAGCACAGTGATAGCACTTTTGTTAGCACTTCTGCCTTGCAGCATTTGGGGTACCCAGTTCGTATCCTGGCCAGAACACTATCTGCAAGGAGTTTGCATGTTCTCCCTGTGCTTGCTTGTATTGCCTCTGAGTACTCTGGTTTCCTCCCACACTCCAAAGGCATGCTGGAAGGTTCATTGGCCCTGTATGCATGTTTCCTCCCACACTCCAAAGGCATACTGGAAGGTTCATTGGCCCTGTATGTATGTGAAATAGGAACCTTAGACTGTAAACTCCTTAAGGGCAGGAACTGATATGAACATGCAATATGTAAACCGCTGCATAAATTGTTGGCGCTATATAAATACCAATAATAAATAAATAACCAAATTAACCGGTGTTAACTTTGAACATTCAATAATGTGCAAAGAAATTAGAATATATAGGAAATGCATAATTGGATGAATGAAGTGAATACAGCTTCCCTCAGCTAAGTACAAATATTCTTATTTTGTCCACTTAATTGATATTAATCTGAATTCTATATAATGTGTTGTAGCCTGATTCACATTGCCCCTGGGTTTTTTTTTTTGAAAGCTGTGCTGTGTAACCCTCTCTCCCCTGCTGCTTAATGAATCACCAATTGTATTTAAACTTTCAAGACAGATTTGAATCTCATTGGTAGCTGACAAAATCTTCTTAGTACCAGCACTTGATTACATCAGGATTTGTGCATGTGGATGGCTTCAAAATTGATGACAACTGATTACTGACTGAAGGCAATTAGTAGGGCTGTTACACATCAAGTAGGCAGTTGGAAAATGTGGAATTACTGAGCAAGTATGCTTTGTCCCCTGTATGCGTTTCAAAGCTTATTTTTAATACTGATTTAAAGTAGATCTCCATTTAAAAAGTGAAGATCTGCTATGTTATAGGGAGCATCTAGAAATTAGAGATTGCACCTAAGTGGTACCCTGCAAAATCTACCTTTTTAAAAATTATTTATTTATTCAACTCACAGAAACAGATGTTAACAGGAAATAATCAAAGTATGAGGAGATTTCATCCAATACAATGCAGTATAGTGATTGGTAATCAACAACAGGTCAAGTCAAATTACATTTCCTAAGTTACTTCAAACATCAGAAGATAAATCCAATATTACATCGGTTCTGAAATTTCTTTTTCCATAAAGTAGGAGGAGATAGAAAGAAAACATGGTACAAGAAAAGACAAAGGTGGAATGGCACAAGACCCGATACTGAGCAAATAGAAGTAAGAAATAGAGGTCAAAGGGTATCATAATTGAGAAAGAAAAGAAAACTGGGATAAGAAAAGAAGAATATCAGAAAAAACAGAGAACCAAAAATTGGTTTACCAACTTCACCTCTTGTTAGACTC